GTGTGTGTGTGTGTGTGTGTGTGTGTGTGTGTGTGTGTGTGTGTGTGTGATTCAGCGTTATTGTGGCTGCGTGGTGGTGCGCGTTGCATTGTAGTCGTTTCACGTGTTGCAACCTCGTGATAGCTCGCTTGATCTACTTTGCTGGTGGGGTTAATTTTCAAAAAGTCTATTTAATTGTGCGCTGAAGATTATCACTAAAACAGGTGTGTGTGTGTGTGTGTGTGTGTGTGTGTGTATGCGTGTGAAATTCATGCCCCGGCTGCCGCAGTAACTAATATAGTAACAGGCTAATCGTGTGGGCTTAGAATATTCTTTTATTCTAAGGCGCTTCAGAACATATATATAACACCACTCTTTATAGATACGGCGCCAAATAACCATGGGCGAACGAAAAAAATAAATATATAGTGTTAGCGTAGGAAATGCTCTTCCCAATGAAAATAGTCTCTGATTTACCAGAATTATTGCGTGTTTTCATTCTCCGTGAAACATCATTCATCAACTGTGTCCTAGTTCTCAATTAGATCGTCGCTATCAGAATCTATTCTAAACTAATTCATGAACACACGAAAATTCCTTTTAGCCGTGTTGGTATTGGGTTAAACGGTTCAGTTTACGGCCTCCTATTGGGTTGTTCCCGGTCGATTTATAACTGTGGAATAAGAGCAAACAAGCTCCCGTATTTTTCAGGATTTACCGTGCAGTGTCTCATTCTGTGTCGGGGCTAGTTCTGCCCGCTTGAGGCTCTGTTGATCCGATTGTGCCGTGAAATTATTGCTGTTCACCAATTCTGTTGAACTACACTCGTTTTCACGACCACAAATGACTCTGGGTTGGGGAGGTCCGGAATTTGAACAACGCCACTGCCGCCCATCTTCCCGTTACCTATATTCCCCCAGACAGCTTTTTGGTATGGACGCAGCTTCCTGAAAGTTTGTTTTACGTTTCGATAACTAATGAGCCCATAAAAAGGAAGTAAATTCCAGAATATGTCCATTTTAATATGACAACATACATTTAGAGGCGAAGATATTTTTTTATTGATTTATCCTCAAGCCTGTACAAATCAAATAGGAAAATGACATTTTGAACGGGGATAGTCATTCAGTCATTCAAAAGTCACGGTGATTGATTGAAAGCGAGAGGAATGGGAGTGGGGTGGGGGAGGTCCGATGTGTTTCACACCGTTAGATTACCGGAACACTGCAATCAATCTGTGATGTGTCATCCGTGCGATCGATCTTCGGTCACGGCAGTTGAATGGCATGGGCCAATCTCTTCTGTGAGCATAGATTGGGTTTGAATATTATTATTATATTATATACTTGCTTGTTGACTTTATTGTGTCAGTTTTTCTGCACCCAATACTTTGGTTCGTTATAGAATATTGTGTACTGTGTATAACTTTTGCAAGCACTGGGGCTCAAATTTAAGTTTAAAAAATCGTACACGCCAACCGTCACAATGTGCATAATAGACTAGGAGAAAATGTTTACAGACATGGGGACATTTCATAATTCAAGGTTAAGACAAAGTTCACTTATCGACCGCTCTTTGTTTATAAGCAGATGTGGTATAAGTGAATTCAAGATGAAATTTGGCATGTCATTCTGTCGTGTTCATCCCTAAAGTCTCGACTCCGTAGTAATGAAGGTCCATGTTGCCGTGTTTGGATTGTCTTTTCTTAGATCCTTCAGCAACACAAAGCTTCTTCCTCTCTCCCCCCCCTACACGGCAAGATGAGATACTGACACTGTTGGATGAACTGTCTACAACATTAGACGCATTAGAGACATTGTTATCGGTCCCAGAACTAATATCCCATCTTGTATTTTCCCATGTTTAACTGGTTCACCCCCTTTTCACTATGCTCTGTACCCCAATCCACCTATCTCGTTTTATTGTTATTATTGTTGTTGCGTTGGCACCATGCTTGTCTTCAATCCGGTGGTATATATATATATATATATACGGTAGATTCACACACGAGGCTGAGATCTGGATTTTTTAATCGTCCCCCCCCCCATAACGTACAGAAAATTAAGTGATTCGGGTTCCGGTCCTTCTCGACTTGCCTTGATGGGTTGGCGTTCGGAACTGGTCGACCTATGCATCCGTTTCGGTTACGAGCTGACCGATGTCGGAGATGAATCGTCATTTGTCACAACCGATGATTCCCTCGTCTCTTTCATCGCTATGTACCTGGGTGAGTCCGAATTCCATATACGAGTATGTTGATTAAAGAGTCATCATATTATTTTTCCACAATCATTTTCTACCACAAAGCACCAAACTCTCATGGTCTCGTGTTGACCTCGAGAAAACTGACTTTGCAACAGTTGATGTTGTGGCCCACATGTGACTGGTATGTTTGTTATACATGCGTGTGGCCAGATTGATTAATCGATCGATTGATTGTTGGCTGTTTGAATGCCCGTTTGACGGTATTCCGATGTTGTGACGCGTGAGCCTGTGTCGGCCTGCCTGTCTGCCTTCCTAAGCGTCGGCCGTTTCTGCTTGCTCCCCGGTCTATCAACGGGCTACATATTTACCGTCGACAATAAACGTGTTGCTTAATTCATTGTGTTTATCTACTTACTCAAACTGGGACACTACAGTTGGGAAACGCGATTTGCATATCGAGCGAAAAATTACTCGGTTCGTCGTTGTGTATTGGGCACTGACAGTTGTGCTTTACATGAAGTAGTCGCTATATCTCGCCTCCGCTAGTTCGATCACGTTTTGGTGCACATTGTTTACTTCTCATTGCATGTGCTGGGCAAAGTTGGAAGAAACCCCAGGGTGGTTGAACTTTTTAAATTTAATTACACACCCTTGTATGATGAACAGCAGCTCGGGTGGACCTCATAATCGTGACAATCTGCTTTTTAGTGATGGAAACTGACAACCGGGTTGTGTGATGTGACGAACCAAACAAGTCCGCGCCGGAATAGGTGTGGTATCGAAGATTATAACATGGCTTAACGGAGTTAAAGCAAAATTGGCTTCGATTGATGCAGCCGGTCTTCTAGATTGGGATCCAAAAGATGAAGATTATAGATGGTGCGAATATTGTGCGGTTGTTCGAAATTCCCTACCTCGTAAAAAGACAAAAAAATAGCAAAAAGTGTACAGTGATGCAAAAAAACATTATTATTCTTGTTCTTTTTGTCCACGACCATATCTTTTTACACATTGATCGCATTTGTATCTGACCCCCCGTCCGTCCGTCCGTCGGCCCCCCTTTGTTTCTCTCCCAAATTGTTGTCGCTTTAGCACCATGCTTGTTCGCACATCGTGGATAAATAATACATGCAGGGAAATTCACAGTGTTTACATTGTAGGCAGCGTCCATGCGTTGGTTCGAATCCCACCGAGGCTACTGAACTTTTCACAATCTCATCACAATGTTTCATTTTAGTCCTTTCGTCCTGTTAAACCACTCGTTCGAAAACTTAATGATTACAGATGCTATCTTATCTTATCTTACTTGGCCATTAGGAAAACAGGATAGAGATAAACTGTCGGTGTTCGAACACCGTTGCCTACACCGCATTTCACGAATCTGCTGGAACAACCGGACGAGCAATGTTGAGGTTAAGCGTAGAGTTTTGGGTAACCGTGGTCGCCCACTGGCGCAAGTAGTCGACCTCCATAGATTACGCTGATTGGGGCATGTGTTACGCATGTCACCAGATAGGTTGCCACAGCGAGCGATGTTTTGCGAGACAGATAGTGGTGGAGAAAGCCAAGGGTGGTCTAACGAAGACCAGACACGATGGCATGAAAACCCGGTCATATAGGTCACATTTAGCTCTGTAGAACGGAGGCTTCGGGATCAATAGTTAAGNAGTTAAGGACACCGAGTGATATGGTTGACTGTCGAAAACAGTGACGCTCGTGCGTCTTCTAGATTTCTTTTCAGCCTTAATCTAGTACAATTTTCTTTTCGACTATACTTTCAAATGTCCTATGCTTCTCCTAATCCTCCATCCAAATGGGCATCCAACAAACATCAATCCAAACCGACACACGAAGCGCATGGTTAATGGTTGTACAGACTAAAACTGAGACTCACGATAGACAGTCCCATGATGTTCACGATCAAGGATGATGATGTTACTGATGCGGGTACGTATTCTTTGTTTCAGATTCTAGTTTCTTTCAATCCATTGGCTGCCCAGATGATTCAAATTGGTTCACCTTCATGAAGCGTTTGTTTGCAATATCCCTGTGAGTTTTCTGTATCTGTCACTGTACGGAATTTCAAACTGATGCGTTTCAATACACACACAATCTAAGGTAATGAATGTTTCTTGTTAGTTAACCCGATTTGTCCGATCGGTCAATTTTCTTTTTATACGTGAAAAACTGTCAGTTCTTTTTGGCTTAAAAGATGGAACACAAATCCTAGAGTTTGACGATCTTTCATACACGAATACGCGAGCTATATTTGGAAATAATAACGTGGCAAGTTTATGGCGTCCACAGAGAGAATATGTAAATAGCACCTGTAGCACCTCCCGTCCGAGGAGTTTCCAACAAACTGGTTTTGGTCCGTTGTATTCAATGCTAAATTTGATGATGTTTCAGAGACACCATCCATTTCGTTTGGTTTTACCTCGGTGAATGAGTTCGTTTTAATGTTCCCCACACGATTCTGATTTAAACTTCATTTTGACGGATCCGGTACTTCGGGATGCTCCGAAGCTGTATTTTTTCGGCAGAACACCCTATCTCTCAGATTTTTTTACTGGCCCACAAGAATTAAGGACAAACAGATGAACCATCGTGTTCTGTGCCTATGAGTATAACAAATCTGAAAAACAAAAACGGCACTTTCTTTTTCACCATTGGTGAGAATTTTCTATCTCACCTCATGGCAGACTGTATCTTATTATCAAGACACGAACTAGACCAGGAGAGGCATCAAACGTTTGTAAATAGGCTGGCACATCCTTACCTGTTTGACGTTGGCGATTTACTACGAAATGTCATAGAACAGTGCTCTGATCGTTGAAGCGTTATGTTTCGACCCTGACCGTAATTTGCCTTCGTTGATTGTATCACACTATTTTGAGAACGCATCAGAAACGAACTCGGACTATCTTGCCAGGTGGAATTGATAGACTCTGAATAAGCATCACCTGAGGTGATAACGCTGATTGCGTGAACTAGATATATTCATTTACAGTGAGGATCAGTATTGATCCGAGAGAATCAGGAGGGCAGGCGGCTCAGCGCAACTATGTGCACACCTTTTTTGCGACCAGTTCGGTTTCAGGTCAACCGCTGTGCGCGGTGTTCAGGTCCTGTCGACCAGACATTTCAATCCGCACGTTCATCGATTTGTTCACCGTAAAGATTTTATGTGGAAACAAATGCGTATTCGGTTTCGGAAATCAAGCCAATCGTGCAATTCAACTTGTTTTTGC